GGCCGTTTCCAGTTTAAGACCTAGTGACCATGGTTTTTATCTGAGTGCTAACGATTATTTATGCATTTTCTCATTGTTGTAGTCATTTCTTTTCTTTATACACCACAAGCAACATGGCAGGAGAAAGGGGGAGAGAGAGCTATTTGTTGCCTTCCAAATTCATAGAAGCAAAAAACAGGCATCAAAAATTGGTTTCCTGTCTGATAATTTACTTAGATGTCCTTAGTTTTTCTTTGTAACACCAGTTATCGTGCCAAACTGCTAGCATCACAGTCTTGCAGCCATTGAATACTAATGATTAGACTATTGGTTCTTCTCATAATAGGCCATGAACTTCATTAATTCTTATCATCTGGCTAATGGCATTTCAAGTTATTTTCATAAAGTTATTTGAAAGGGTTGCTTTTATTGAACTTGTGCTATTCCTTAGATACGACTGTTATAGGGTTTATAAGAGATATGCTTCATTTATTATTATTATTATTATTATTAGTACTACAACTGCTACTACTTTTTTGATACTTATCTGTTGTCTCAACTGCTCTCCTTCCCAGATCTTGGATTTCACAGATCATGTTTGGACAGAATGCTTCTCGTCATATTTAGGAAGGTGAAGTTTTTGTCCAAATTTTTGTTGGCTTCTACATTCGATACAAACATCCAGGAACTCTACTTATTGAGCTATAATTTGCAGATGGATGCATCTTGATCCCTGTGAGGGAATTTTTGACAATCCACTGTTATATGAGAAGGGGTACTTCTCTTAATTTTAGTGAAATCTTCATCATCTTGGTTTGTGATACCTATGCTGTATAGATCTTGGTACCTGATAACTTATCATAAATTCTGTTGTCACTGCAATGATTTTGAATGTTTCTACTTTTCCTCGAAGCTGGAATAAGAAGTTGAACTATGTAATTGCCATAGCCAAAGATGGAGTCTATGACGTCACTAAGCGTTATACAAAGAAGTGGCACGATGTACTGATCTTCTATTATCCTTTTCTAAATTTAATATTTTATCTTCTCTAGATTCGTGCGTAGACAGGATATGTCAAAATTTTGACATTAGAGACATTTATTTGCAGGTTCTGTCTAGAAGAGTCTTAACTACAGAATCTACTCTTGCAGCTATTATCTTCAATATCAGAGGAGAATGTCGTAAAAATACTACACCTGAGATGCTTTTGAATCTTGATAAACGTGATAGGAGTGAAGCAGAAGAACTTGAGAGGAGCTTATCTTCTAAAGATGATGCTTCAATCTCTTTACCCGGAAGACAAAGTGGGGACAGAGAATGGCGCATATCGAGATCTGAATTTGTCTCTGATGACCAATACGCTTCGAATTCATCTTGTCCACTTCGTAGGTGTGTAGATGAGCATGTAACAAAGATATACAATGCATTTTTTCCGGTCGTTTGTGAATTAGTGGAGAAATCTTTGGATAAATCTAGAGCTATTGAACTCCTAGAAACTTTCAAAATGATCTTGGTTAATCTGAAGAATTCCCCTTTCAAAACAAGGAGAACTACTATAAATGCTGTATCAAATGGTGCTCGATTGTTCATTGAGATGCTTCCCCATTTTGCTCAATTGTTGAATGCCCTTTCGCTGAAGAGAGAGTCAAGCGTCAAGGGGACAACTGAAATTTGTTTGGCTTCTGATCCTGTAAAAACATCAGTGGCTCTGCCAGTTGTGTTTCATGCCCTCGATGATTTGATTTATAATATTAATATTTGTGGGAAGTTGACTAAAGAGTCTCTATCTTGGCCTCTTCTGAAGTTAAATAGAATATGTTCTGGTATTGTCCTTGCAAGTGGGGAGGAGCTTCCTTTTGGAATTGTAAGTTGCTTTAAGATGTATTATATGTGTTCATTTATTGCGCTGCTCTAGATATATAAGAGCTCTTCTATAAATCCTCATTGTAAAGGCGTCTTTCTTTTACATTTTAAAACTTATTTTTCATTGTTGGCAATCAATCAGGTCACATCTACATTTGATGGAACTCGAATGTCAAAGTGGAAAGAACCAAATGGTGCAACAGGTATTTGAAGACACCCTCTGATTTTTCTCAAGGCTGTAAAGAACATAACAGTAATTGACTGCGTTTTCTTTCTATATCTTTGTGATGTAGGATAACTTGTAGTCTAAACTTACTAGGTTAATGTTTTTTCATTTTTTTCCCGTTGGTTTTTGGGTAAGAATAAACAAGTATTTCAAATATTTTCATTTAAAAGGAAAAAATATATATAAATTAAATAGGAAAATATTAACATTAGGATCGCAAACATTAGATATATATTTCTTATATATGTGGCAAACAAAATACGGGGAAGTTTCTCTACTCTTGTCTTCCATCGTAAATCTTCGCTATCGACCAATAGGAATACGAATAAGGTCATGGAGGCTCCACGTAATTAGTTCATGATAGATATTTTTGAACTGCTTCAACAACTTGCTATTGAAGGGCGCAAGTATCTCCATGATGGGGTCTATGAATCCGCTGAAGTTTCAATTGAGTTTGAGTAAACTTACCATGTTTGAATCTGTATCAAATATGGTAAAAAAGGGATAAACCTTGGCTTGAAAGAAAGAAACAATAAGCTACTAGTAACTTTGCAAGGACTACGAGTATTTCCTGTGTTCAAGGAGGACCATATTGAACATTAGCTACATGCATCTATTCTCTTAAGGTTGCTTACTCATGATTTGTTCCAAGGGAAAATGTTCTAAAACTCATCCAATAATAAATGTGTAATTCATTGATAATAATGTTCATTTTTGTGATTAGATTTTCTACGACATAATTTCTCCTAACTTTCCTTTTATAATACAAGTAAAAATCATTTCAAGTATTTCTTTTTCCCCCATCAAAACAAAGAAAATGAAGCTCAGATTTACTAAATGTCAGACTGCGTATAATATTTTCCTTTATTCAATAGACCTATCTACGTGTTAAATAGTAAAGGAGTGTTTTCTTATAGGTTGCTGGATCATATATAAGTTAATTGATAACCAGAAGCATGAGCTAGTGGCATATGAATTGATGTCAGCCAATGATGCTCCAGAGGCTGATCCTATGGACTGGTATGAAATTTTTATACTTCTGAACAATTAATTAAACGTATACAGAGAGTTATTACACCTGCTTGCTTGTGTATATTCGCCTACTTTTCGCTGCATCTGTTGTTTAACTAAGACTGTTAATCAAGTCTGTCTTTTATGACGTTCAGCTCATTTGGGGCTTGTTTATTCTGGTACTGTGGACTAACTATACTGCTAAACATATCCATTTCTTTCTATTTTGCATTTGGGTGATATACTGAAAATGAGATGTCTTGATCTGATATTGCAATTGAATGGGCAGCATATGAGCTGCTTAACTCTACATTTTTCCCCAGAATCATATGATTCAGTTCAAGAGCTACTCATTTTTCTTACGGAATATAGTTAACTCAATTCTGCTCCTAGTCTCTGACTAGTGACTAATATGCTTAGCTTGCATGACAAAGAGGTTGAGAAAGACACGGGAACAACTTGGGGGGTTGGGGGGGGGATGTCTTTCTAACTTTCATATAGTTCATTACGACTTAGTATATTATATATTGTTCATGAGTAGTTTATGGAAGTTTTAACTCTCTGAAGTATCCTTTGTTTTCCCTGTTTCATTTAGATTAGTTGAAATTTTTCATTCTGTATTAAAGCATATACCTTGCAATGGAGCACCAAATGTTTCCAGGATTGGATTGTCTAGCTTGTGTCTTTGGACGAGTTGAAATGACTATATTACTTATTTGGTGGGAGTATCCAAACATGTTAGGCAAAAATTTGATTAAAGGTAACTTCACTTTTTTAAGCGTATCCAAAAATATTGTTATAAATTTTTAGTTTTAAATACTTGTACATTTTTCTAATATGCGTCACCCCAAACATAGTATACTAGCAATTCACCTTTATCCAATATAGCATAGTCACGGTTCTCGATCCTTTGTCATGCTCTTCACCATCATTGATGTAATATCTGGTCAGTTGTCATGACTATTATGCTGGTCCTTCATTTCTCATTGCTCATTAGATTTATCATATTGAAGAAAAATACTCTTGTAGGAATCCTATAGATGGACTTTAATTTATTCTTGCACCATAATTAGATGGACTTTAATTTATTCTTGCACCATAATTAGTTCTTTTCCATATTTAGTTTTTTCCATAAATTAGTAGATTGTAGTTTAGTTAAATTTTTTCTCTCCTTATTTAGGAGATTTCTTTCCTTTCTTCCTTGTCCCATTTGTACTATAAATTGAGAGGTTGTATACATTGAAAATCATACAAGAAATACAAACAATTATTCTTGCGTTCATGGTATCAGAGCTTGGAACATAATGACGGAAGTCCCCATCAATAGTAAAAGCTCAATGTCGTCCGAGTCCTCTCGCAGCGAGGCAGAAATCAATTCTGCAATTGGCTCGACTGGTGGTGAGAATGCTTAGTTCCAACTCACAGTAGAGAAGTTGAATGGAAGAAATTTCAGGGAATGGGCTCAATCTATTAAACCCGTAATCGACGGTAAGGGAAAGTTCGATTACTTGACCGGAGAAACTAAGAAACCGACTGATGCCGTCCTTATGCAAAAATGGAAATTCGAGAACTCAATGGTCATGGCGTGGCTGGTAAATTCGATGATACCGTCTATAGGGAAAACATACCTCTTCCTGCCGACTGCTAAAGATGTATGGAAAGCTATAAGAGAAATGTACTCAGACTCAGAAAATTCTTCCCAAATCTTTGAAATAAAAAATCGGCTGTGGCAAACTAAACAAGAGGAGAGGGCCGTTACCGATTACTATTTGGAAATGACCTCTCTCTGGCAGAAGCTCGATCTCAGTGGTGAAGAAGAGTGGGAATGCCCAGGAGATAGTGTCAAGTACAAGAAGAAGCTCGAAAATGAACGTGTGTATGAGTTCCTCGCCGGCCTCAATCGGGAACTTGACGACGTGAGGGGGAGAATTTTGGGTAGCTGTCCACGGCCCTCTACACGCGAAGTGTTCACCGAGGTGAGGAGGGAGGAAAATCGTCGGAAAGTGATGATGAAGACGGAGAATACCAACGACGTGGAGATGTCGGCCCTCATGTCGATTGGAATTGGAGCTCCTGGTTATGATACTGGGTTTTCAACAAATGGGCTAAAGTCATCTTATGGGCCACGTACTATTGGGCTAGACTTTAATAATGTTGGGCCTTCTGCTGGATTGGGCAAAGGAGCTGTTGGGTCTTCTAAATTCGGACCTGCTGGATTTGGGCTTAGATTTACAAATTCATCCTAAGGAGTTATACATGGGATGGGCCAAAAATACCAAAAGAGACGGTTGTGGTGTGAACACTGTCGTAAACCGGGACATAAAGAAGATACTTGTTGGGACTTACATGGGAAGCCCACAGATTGGGAACCGAGACCAAATGTTAAAAATCGTGGCTACCAAGTCTTGGCCGATCAAATAGAGAACTCCAAAGAAACAAAAAGTGGAGCATTCAACAGTGAGCAATTAGAACAACTCTACCAGATATCTTCAAGCCTTCAAACTCCAAGTCATCCTTCCACACACAGTCCTCCGAGTTCATTAGCCCATAAAGGTAGTTTTTGAAAACCTTATATATCTCATCAAAATATAAAACTCCCTGGATTATTGACTCGGGTGCTTCCGATCACATGATGGATTCTTACCACTTATTTTCCTCATACTCACCTTATGCTGGCAATATCAAAGTTAAGATCGTAGACAGATCCCTCTCATCCGTCGCAGGAAAAGGGAATATTCGTATCTCTGAATTTATAACTCTTAAATCTGTTCTTCATGTCCCAAACGTGTCTTGCAATCTATTATCTGTTAGTCAATTAACTAAAGAATCCAATTGGTCGGCTAAATTATCTCAATCTCACTGTCTATTCAGGACCTATCATCGGGGAAGACGATTGACAGTGCTAAAGAATGCGAGGGGCTTTACTACTTTGACGAGGCCAACGTGTGTAGACAATGTCAAACTACAATTTTTAATTCTATGTCTGTCTCTAGGGATAGCAATATTATATTATGGCATTATAGAATGGATCATCCCAACTTTCAATACTTAAGATATATGTTTCCTCCAATTTTTTCGAATAAAACATCTATTGATTTTCAATGTGAAATTTGTGAACTTGCAAAACATCAACGCACTACTTTTCAAAAATACATATACAAACCATCGAAATCATTCAATATGATTCACAGTGATCTATGGGGCCCTTCACGGGTCTCTAACCGGACTCATACCAAATGGTTTGTCATGTTTATAGATGATCATACTCGAGTTTGTTGGGTTTACCTACTAAAAGAAAAAATTGACGTTCGTTCGATATTCATTAACTTCCATCAGATGATCCGAACACAATTCCAAACACAAATTCAAATCTTACGAACGGATAATGGTACCGAATATTTCAATTCCACTCTGCAAGACTATTTACAAATGCATGGGATAATCCTTCAAAGCTCGTGTGCCAACACCCTACAACAAAATGGGATTCCCGAACGAAAAAACAGACACCTTCTTGATGTTGCCCGTACTTTAATGTTCACCACAAATATGCCAAAAATATCCTAGGGAGATGCCATCTTAACGTCAACCTATCTTATCAATCGAATGCCTAGCTACACTCTCTCCTTTGAATCATCCATTCAAAGACTTCATAATTTTTTCCCTAATTCTCGACTTAACTTGAACATACCCCTTAGAATGTTCGGTTGTATAGCCTTTGTTCATATTCATTCTCATCATCGAAGCAAACTTGATCCTCGTGCAATTAAGTGGTCCTCCTCGGATACGCACCCACTCGAAAGAGCTATAAATGTTATGATCCAGAAACCAAGAAAACATTTGTTAGTCTTGATGTTACATTCTTTGAGAAAACACCTTACTTCAAAAAAACCTCCCTTCAGGGGGAGAATCCGAGTGAAGATCGATTTCTAGACTTTGATATCTCTGTTGAGCCCACCAAAATCATTGAATCTAGAATACCACAGTGTCCACCATGTTCTACTATGCCATGTATAGAGGAAAATTTGAACTCAGGGGGAGTATTGATAAACAAAATAACAGGGAGACATTGGTTTACTCAAGGAGGCCAAATCAAAGGAGGACCCCACGTTCGAAGCACCAAAAAAATTGGAACCGATGATAGCTCCAGATGTTCATAAGTCTCATGAGTCCGAACCTCCAGACACAAACCTACCTATTGCTCTCAGAAAAACATGGTCATGTACTCTCCACCCTATATCAAAATTGCTGTCCACGGCCCTCTACACGCGAAGTGTTCACCGAGGTGAGGAGGGAGGAAAATCGTCGGAAAGTGATGATGAAGACGGAGAATACCAACGACGTGGAGATGTCGGCCCTCATGTCGATTGGAATTGGAGCTCCTGGTTATGATACTGGGTTTTCAACAAATGGGCTAAAGTCATCTTATGGGCCACGTACTATTGGGCCAGACTTTAATAATGTTGGGCCTTCTGCTAGATTGGGCAAAGGAGCTGTTGGGTCTTCTAAATTCGGACCTGCTGGATTTGAGCTTAGATTTACAAATTCATCCTAAGGAGTTATACATGGGATGGGCCAAAAATACCAAAAGAGACGGTTGTGGTGTGAACACTGTCGTAAACCGGGACATAAAGAAGATACTTGTTGGGACTTACATGGGAAGCCCACAGATTGGGAACCGAGACCAAATGTTAAAAATCGTGGCTACCAAGTCTTGGCCGATCAAATAGAGAACTCCAAAGAAACAAAAAGTGGAGCATTCAACAGTGAGCAATTAGAACAACTCTACCAGATATCTTCAAGCCTTCAAACTCCAAGTCATCCTTCCACACACAGTCCTCCGAGTTCATTAGCCCATAAAGGTAGTTTTTGAAAACCTTATATATCTCATCAAAATATAAAACTCCCTGGATTATTGACTCGGGTGCTTCCGATCACATGATGGATTCTTACCACTTATTTTCCTCATACTCACCTTATGCTGGCAATATCAAAGTTAAGATCGTAGACAGATCCCTCTCATCCGTCGCAGGAAAAGGGAATATTCGTATCTCTGAATTTATAACTCTTAAATCTGTTCTTCATGTCCCAAACGTGTCTTGCAATCTATTATCTGTTAGTCAATTAACTAAAGAATCCAATTGGTCGGCTAAATTATCTCAATCTCACTGTCTATTCAGGACCTATCATCGGGGAAGACGATTGACAGTGCTAAAGAATGCGAGGGGCTTTACTACTTTGACGAGGCCAACGTGTGTAGACAATGTCAAACTACAATTTTTAATTCTATGTCTGTCTCTAGGGATAGCAATAGTATATTATGGCATTATAGAATGGATCATCCCAACTTTCAATACTTAAGATATATGTTTCCTCCAATTTTTTCGAATAAAACATCTATTGATTTTCAATGTGAAATTTGTGAACTTGCAAAACATCAACGCACTACTTTTCCAAAATACATATACAAACCATCGAAATCATTCAATATGATTCACAGTGATCTATGGGGCCCTTCACGGGTCTCTAACCGGACTCATACCAAATGGTTTGTCATGTTTATAGATGATCATACTCGAGTTTGTTGGGTTTACCTACTAAAAGAAAAAATTGACATTCGTTCGATATTCATTAACTTCCATCAGATGATCCGAACACAATTCCAAACACAAATTCAAATCTTACGAACGGATAATGGTACCGAATATTTCAATTCCACTCTGCAAGACTATTTACAAATGCATGGGATAATCCTTCAAAGCTTGTGTGCCAACACCCTACAACAAAATGGGATTCCCGAACGAAAAAACAGACACCTTCTTGATGTTGCCCGTACTTTAATGTTCACCACAAATATGCCAAAAATATCCTAGGGAGATGCCATCTTAACGTCAACCTATCTTATCAATCGAATGCCTAGCTGCACTCTCTCCTTTGAATCATCCATTCAAAGACTTCATAATTTTTTCCCTAATTCTCGACTTAACTTGAACATACCCCTTAGAATGTTCGGTTGTATAGCCTTTGTTCATATTCATTCTCATCATCGAAGCAAACTTGATCCTCGTGCAATTAAGTGGTCCTCCTCGGATACGCACCCACTCGAAAGAGCTATAAATGTTATGATCCAGAAACCAAGAAAACATTTGTTAGTCTTGATGTTACATTCTTTGAGAAAACACCTTACTTCAAAAAAACCTCCCTTCATGGGGAGAATCCGAGTGAAGATCGATTTCTAGACTTTGATATCTCTGTTGAGCCCACCAAAATCATTGAATCTAGAATACCACAGTGTCCACCATGTTCTACTATGCCATGTATAGAGGAAAATTTGAACTCAGGGGGAGATATTGATAAACAAAATAACAGGGAGACATTGGTTTACTCAAGGAGGCCAAATCAAAGGAGGACCCCACGTTTGAAGCACCAAAAAAATTGGAACCGATGATAGCTCCAGATGTTCATAAGTCTCATGAGTCCGAACCTCCAGACACAAACCTACCTATTGCTCTCAGAAAAACATGGTCATGTACTCTCCACCCTATATCAAAATTCATATCGTATAATGCTCTATCTACAGGATTTCGTACTTTTACATCTAACCTTGATAGTACATAAATTGCAAGAAGTATTCACGAAGCTCTGAAAGTTCCCAAATGGAAGGAAGCAGATTCAAGCAATAATGGAGGAAATGAGGGCCTTAAGGAAAAAATGACACATGAGAGTTGATGGATCTACCGAGAGGGAAGAAACCTGTAGGTTGCAAATGGGTCTTCAATGTGAAGTATAAATCTGATGGATCAATTGAACAATATGAAGCTCGTCTGGTTGCAAAAGGATATACAAAACCTATGGTATTGACTACACAGAGACGTTTGCACCAATGGCAAAGCTAAACACAATTTGGGTATTTTTGTCTCTGGCTGCTAACTTGGACTGGCCTCTTCAAATAAAAAATGCATTTCTCAATGGGGAACTAGAGGAAGAGGTTTTCATGGCCTTGCCACCAGGATTTTGCAAAGGAAATGAAGAAAACAAAGTCTGTAAACTCAAGAAATCATTGTATGACCTCAAGCAATCATCGAGAGCATGGTTCGATAGATTTGCAAAGGTAATGAAATGCCAAGGTTATCAGCAAGGACAATCAAATCACACTATGTTCTTCAAACAATCAGAAAATGGGAAGAAGACAATTCTAATTGTATACGTGGATGATATTATCCTAACTGGAGACAACACGGTTGAGATGTAAAGACTCAAGAAAAATCTAGCAACTGAATTCTAAGTGAAAGATTTGGGACAAATGAGATAGTTCTTAGGAATGGAGGTAGCAAGATCAAAAAAGGGTATTAGCGTGGCACAAAGAAAATATATCCATAACCTTCTCATTGAAACATGCATGCTTGGTTGCTGGCCATGCGACACGCCTATTGATACAGGGAGGAAAGCAGATGAGGATGGAAATCAAGTTGAGAAAGATAGATACCAAAGACTAGTCGGAAAATTGATATACCTATCTCATACTAGACCACACATTGCTTTTGCAGTAAGTGTTGTGAGTCAACATATGCACTCACCAAAGAAGACTAATATTGAAGCGGTATATAGAATTCCCAGATATCTCAAAGGATCACCTGAAAAAGGGTTATTCTTCAAGAAGAGTCAGAACAAGAAAGTAGAAATATTCACAAATGCGGATTGGGCAGGTTCCAGAGATGATAGGAGATCGACCACCAGTTACTGCACCTTTGTATGGGGAAACTTGGTAACTTGGAGAAGTAAAAAATAGAATATAGTAGCAAGAAGCAGTGCAGAAGCAAAATTTAGAGCAGTTGCCCAAGGAATATGTGAAGGACTACGGCTAAAGAAACACTTGGAAGAACTACTAGTCACAATAAAACTTCCAATCAAGATCTACTGTGATAACAAGCAGCCATCAATATCTCCCTTAATCCGATTCAACATGATCGAACTAAACATATTGAAGTAGACAGACACTTTATCAAAGAAAATATTGAAGACGGGGTTATTTGCATGACATATGTTCCTACAAAAGAACAAATTGCAGATATGTTTACCAAAGGACTACCTGAACAAAGATTTGAAGATTTCGTTTGCAAGTTGGATATGGTCAATATTTACCACCCAACTTGAGGGGAAGTGTAGAAATCCTACAGACGGACTTTAATTTATTATTGTACCATAATTAGTTCTTTTCCATATTTAGTTTTTTCCATAAATCAGTAGATTGTAGTTTAGGTAAATTCCATCTCTCCTTATATAGGAGATTTCTTTCCTTTTTCCCTTACCCCATTTGTACTATAAATTGAGAGGTTGTAAACATTGAAAATCATGCAAGAAATACAAACAATTATTCTTGTGTTCAACTCTGATTTCTTTTTTCTCCATTTTCCTGTTCTCTGTTGGAGATCTTTGGTAGAATGCTAAAAAGCGCTGAGTCATACTATGCCTGTAGGGTCGTTGAAGGAAGTGATGATGGAGGCTCCACTTGGCACATTTTGGACAAACAAATTTCTCAGACGTTTGATACACGCTTCCAGCGAAAAACATTTGAAGTCAAATCACCCACATTGTTAGCAAATGCCTTCAGGTAAAAGTTCACTCTGAAACTTGCATGAATTTCTGTACCTTCTCCCATCCATTCAACACATACAATTTCATTTCTATACATAAGCTCTGCGTTAGTGATTTATGTTTTTCACTATATAACAACAGGTTTAGGTTTCTGGTAGTTCGAGATGCAAAGGCAACTTCACAGCTTCAAATCGGCAGCATTGACCTCTACGCAAGAAAGTCTGGATAACCAACTTGGATGTTGCTTGCTGAAATCCTGAAGATGATAAATTAGAAAAAGTGCGAATTGATGTTAAAATACATATATGTTGATGTCTGGTGTACTCTAGAACAACTGATATTTGTCAACTGAATTTTAGTAGCCATATCTAGTCTCTAAATCACTACGGGGCAACCTCCACCCTTGACAACGCATCGTGGACTAAAATTGGAGTCACTATATCTTATATGTAACTGTGTGACCCAATAACAAGGGAGTTTAATTGGATTTGGCTTTTATTTTGATTGTAATTTTCATTTATAGCTTAGGCCCTGTTTGGCAGAGATTAAAATTCAAATTTTAATCATATATTTAATGGGATTCACTAATTTTTATCTACACATTTTGTCAACTTTCTTCAAAATTTATTAAAAATTTGATTTTAATTGTTAAAAAACAGGGGGCTTAATCTTTGATGATGATAATTACGTCTTTGTTTTAGAAGAGGAGGGAGAATATTATTTGGAATAATAGTTGATATACTTGGAGCATCTCCAATGCTTCATCGCGCTTATTGTTACGAATTATGAACTCTAAATATTTGGGTATTCAAGAATAACGTTTGGATGTGTTCTTTTCATTCTTGTTATTTCGTTTTTGCTTACATGAGCATGTAAGATATAAGGCCCCTTTGTAAGTGACACTATACATCAAGAGTATCCGACATGTGCCGTTCTGATGTCTCTATGGCCAAGGTCAGTTATGCCTGTGCTCTCTTACATTTCTCCCCATTTGGTGCAAATCCTAGAGTGTGGAAGGTTGATTAATAATGTCATCAACACAATCACAATCAACAACAAATTTCAGGATCGTTGGCAAGCTTAGATCTTCACGTACACTACTTTCAGTGTTCTTTCTATGATTAACAATTTAAGAACTCAATGCTGTTTGAAAGTGAAATATACACTTCTTGATACCTTAAATTATTTAGTTCTTTGTGTTATTTTCGTTATCCTAAATGGCTAGCTTTGACCTAGACACTTTACTTCTTGCGGGGGTTGTTTCCAGTCGTACTAATTCGCAAAGTCACCACCTTGTGAAAGTGAAATGTACCGTGGATAAAAACGCGTTTTTTATTTTTATTTTTTGTTGAGAATATGAGGTTGCTAACTCCATTCCCCTGCGCCCAAAATTATATATATATATATATAGAGAGAGAGAGAGAGAGAGAGAGAGAGAGAGAGAGAGAGAGGGATCTCATGTCCCTGGACCCTGGCAAACAAATGGCATTTCTTACGAGTTTGCTAACCACCAACGAAATTTTTTTGCCAACAGATCTTCTATCATTATCACAATAATCATTATCAAGAACGAAATACAATATAACCACCTGCAAAGTTTGTCTATCATGGGATTCATTCTTAACACGTGTCCTCAAAATGATGACTCATTTTAAATACTTTGATTTTAGAAATCGAGTGCTCGTTTTGTGCTTTAGATAGAACAAATTGTGCGTTTGAATTTAAAAGACTCTAATGCTATATATAATTTGAGATTCCATTTTAAAATGTTAAAAAGATGAATAACCCAAGCCTTTAAATGATGTTTCGTATTTTATTATTATTTAACCAACATGAAATTTCTGCCTAATATAATATTAATGTGAAATGAGCAATTCTTACTATGTTATTAGAACTTAGTTACTCAAACGAATTGGTCGTTTAGATTAATCCCTTGTTTGGTTCTCATTATTTTCAAAATACATTTATCTCTCTTTCTCTCAACCATACATTCTTTAATGAAATAATATTGCAAGCAAATTAATTTTTTTCTTATTTTTTAATCACATATTCTCTGTTAAAAAAACTATTTCAAAATACATTTTGTTTTAAAAAAAAAAAGGTTTCAAACAAAATCTAAGAATAAAATAGGTAAAGGAATTTCAAGATTGATATACTTAGCCTCGTTTGGTAGCAATTTTTCACCCCAAGAATTAATTTTTTGACCGTTATTTTACTATTTTAGCCGTTAATTTTTATTTCTTCACTCACAAATGGAACCTACTTTTCTGTCTATCAATCAAAAAATCAATTCTCATAATCACTACTGAACATGTCCTTAAATAAGTTAAATTTTATTAGTTGTATAACTGAGGTTGACAACCTCTTATCAACCCTGGTTGTAAATGGACCGAAATAAGTTACCATCTTGCACATGTAAATTCCACATTCGATACATATAAGAATATTAACCCGCTTAAATTTCACATTAATTAAATATAAAAATATAATCAATATATAAGGAATTTAGCTATTTCTTTAAGAAATTTAAACAAGTATATAGATTTCAAGATTGAATGAACGAGGAGGGTATATTAGGATAAATTTCACATGAATTAAGTGCCGGCTTGATTTTGTTAAAAATTAATTATTTTTAGTAGATTTTTTATTAAGTTGATAAAAATATGTGATTAAAAATTGACAAAATTTGTGAGTATGTAAATAAAATTAATTATTAACTTGGCTCAAAATTTTATCTCAAATTTCTAATCAATTTTCAAGAAGAAAAACGAACAAAGACTATAATAAACGGCTTGGCGGCTTGGTCTCCAAGTCAAGTCAATAATTCATCCCATGTGTGAAGAGTTGGTGCTAGAACAACATTGAGAAGTGAAATCACAGAGCAGCTACGAGGATAATCGAGAAGAATCAAAGCTTACCTCAACTTGCACTCATGAACCATTTTTTGGTAAATGCTTCGACCCATTTATTTTAATTTTGTTTTTTGTTTTTCCCGTTTTACTGATCATTGTAGTGAACAGTTGAAAAGGAAAGCCTGTGCGCGAAGTGTTTGATGAAATTCCCGTTTTTTATAATCTGTGTGCATTTTCAATTTTATGTTCTTATTATTCACAGAGGAAGTTTTCAAACAAAACCTCCCTCATACGTGTAGTTGCTTTGGCCTCAGCTGGGTCTGGTCTATTGTATTCCACCACCACCCCAGATTCCAGTAAGGACTCCAATTCATTCTTTTTATAGATTTAAACTATTCTTTTATCAATTTATCTGTTTGGGTTCTTCAATTAATTGAAATATTTTGAAAAAATAAATTGTTAGGATCTAATTCCTTCTTATGATCGGTTGTGGTGTAGAAACATCATTTTCTGTTTCAACTCCTCCGCCATTGTGGAACTCCGAAACGTGGCCATGGAGAACTTTGGAAGAGAAATTCCCTCTGCCTGCATTGATTTCCTTAAATCCTACACAATACGGTATGCGAATATTTCTTCAGATTTTCTGCTTTTGTACTGGTTTTTAGTTTTCTCATTTACAGGAGCAGTTGCTCTGAAGCAGGTTCTTTGACTGGATGTGCATGTATATTTACTTTCTTGTCTCTTTATACAAATTAATACCATGTAATTGTAGGTGTTCTTCAAGTATCTTTTTCGAGACCTGATGCTGTTCCACCTCCAGATATGGGTAAAGAAGCTTCCGGGGATCTTGGCGGTAGTCCCAAACATTCGTGTAATTGTTTGGGTCGAGATACTATTGCTAATGCAGCTGCTAAGGTTGGTCCAGCTGTTGTGAATTTGTCAGTGCCACAAGGTATGCTTTTTCTTTTTGAATTTTGCCAATTTGCAGGCTGATTAATATTTACCTAATCTGAATTGGTCATGTTTGACACTTTCGTAGGTTTTCATGGGATGACGGTGGGAAAAAGCATAGGATCAGGAACAATAATAGATGACGATGGTACTATTTTGACTTGTGCTCATGTAGTGGTTGATTTTCAAGGTTTGAGATCCTCATCCAAAGGGAAGGTAAAATTTTAAAATCTTTCAATTGCAAAGTAAGTTTTTTTAGGCAATATATACTGCATCAACTCTAGGCACAGATGCTAGGCACGTGACAATTGTGTGCAGTTTAAGCCCTATAAACATGCAAGGCTCAAATCAAATTATTCATAAAATGTTTTCATTGAATAGGCGAGCTTCCACTCTTTATTAATGCCATTCCCACTACATTTGATGACATAAAATTAAAATCACATGTCATTGTTGAAACAAAAATTTAAAAATAATTACTCCAAGGACATTCTCTCTCACTTATGTAAGTCATCATAGCAGTGGAAAATGCACAACTAAAACAGCAAGATAGACTTAAGTTTTCAGAAATCAATTACCAATTCAGCATCTGTAAAATTCAATTAGTGAGCCAGTTGTGCTGAAAGAAACAACATACAAGCACACACTACTTCAGCAATTCATGATAAAAAGAAGTTCTATAAAAGTGACAAAACTACACCATGTTCAAAAATATAAGTAAATATTGCAATTGTATGGTTAAAGCACCACACAACTGTGTGGTTGTTAAACAGTGATCGTATTATAGTATCATTCACCTTCAAAGTTTTAAATCAGAGATCTTACAAGCTTTAATATGATCTTAATTCTTGTTAATATAAAGGCAACGTCATAAATGAAGTCTTGAAATCTCATGATTTCCTCTCTGCCTGAAAATGTATATCCTTCCCTTTCCAAGCTTCTTAGTATCTTATCTTCAATGTCATGTCATTCGCTTAATTAATGAAGGGTATTGACATAATTGCTAATATCCATGTAGGTGTGTATTTTAAAAATGTGTCAGTTAAAAATCTTATGATCAATGTCTTATTGATATTGTTGTACTTGCTAATATCTATATGTTTGTATTTTTAACATATTAATTTATTAATTCAAATATTTATTTATGACTACTTAACAGGATTCACTGCAAATAATAGCATGATTTCTAACATACTCCTCTCATTCATTGACATTGTATGCAGTTATTGATATACAGGAGAGTATTATTTTTATTTTTTTATCCATATTACACTATAGGTTAAATTTAAATTATTTTATTTTATTGCACCCTTGTGGATCTTGGATATGAGATGACACAGAAAATAAACTGTTGCCACAGGTTGAAGTCACTTTGCAAGATGGTCGTACATTTGAGGGAACAGTGGTGAATGCTGATTTACATTCTGATATAGCAATTCTAAAAATAATATCTAAAACTCCACTTCCAACAGCAAAACTTGGCTGTTCGAGTAAGCTTCGACCAGGGGATTGGGTGGTGGCTATGGGCTGTCCGCTCACCCTTCAAAATACTATCACAGCCGGTATTGTAAGGTATTTGGACTGCAGAATATCCGTTCTTCTTGTACCATCTAAAAGTTTCAAATTTGTTTTAAGTTGACATGCACAAATCGCCCCAATTTATTGGGGCTTCATTTGTGGTGGTGTTTTTAGTTAACATTCACATATACACATATCAGAGAGAATGAAGCTATGAGCTACGTCATGATATTCACAGTATTCTATGCTGACATCTTATTTTGACATATATATGATGTAGATCTCTTCTGTAATTAAAAAACATGTATTTTCTTTACTGATACCTTCATTTTGTGTTGCTTCTTCCAATTGCGTATAGTTGTGTTGATCGTAAAAGCAGTGATCTGGGTCTAGGAGGAACACGAAGAGAGTACTTACAGACAGATTGTGCAATTAATCAGGTAATAAAAATATGTTTTCTCCTTCACCTGTTTCTGCATAATTACACAACTTCCATCAGCTTCCTCATGGGGTTTCCCGAGGGGCACATCAGATGGGGATGGTTATTTATGGACAAATAGGTGCAAATGCATATCAAATAACTGGTGCCTCAGGGTAACTTTCTCATTTTCAGAAGATCATTGGTTTAGATTTTGTATGTATATTTACATTATGTAATTTTTTTCTTTGGTTAATGGTAATTGGAGAGCATAGTATACAATTTTGGTTTGATTTCTATTAGACAGTAGTCCATTTTCATGGGGTTGCTGAATAGTATAAGTCATAGATGCCTTGCTGGGAGTGTAGGGGTTTCCAATTTTATCTTGGTTTGAGATTTATAAAGATGATTGATGGGTCATGTGCTCTAGTATTGCCTATATTCAAGCTTTTTAGTGTACTATTTGCAACAAAAACGATAATCCAAATGAAACATTTCTTCAACTTGCCATAAATCTTTACATTCTTAAGAACGAGGAGCTGATATGTCTTTTGTCAACTGCCTTTTCTTCTTATCATCTGTGGTTAACAGCTAAATTGAACTAAAGTTGCTAACTTGCTATCATGCTTTGTCATGTATGGCTTCTTGTTCATTCTTGCCTTGGATGTAGGGTAATTCTGGAGGACCTCTTGTCAACGTTGATGGAGAAGTTATCGGTGTTAATATCATGAAAGTGTTGGGAGCTGATGGGTTGAATTTCGCTGTACCAATCGATTCAGTTACCAAAATTATAGAGCACTTCAAAAGAAATGGGTATTGTTTTCTGATGTTCTCATGAATCAAATAAGCTTCTCTGGATCAGGCACATACATTGTTCCTGAAGATACCGCATCATGTCTGTCTGATATTTAGCAATCATTCTTTGTTCTAGTTGGATGTTGCTTGATCCTGAATCCAAGTTAATTCTGAACCACTGCAAAAGCTGATTCCTAATATTGATGGAGTAACACTTGCATTTTATTTTCCGAGTTCTTGTTATTGGACAATATATATAAGGTCTTCAGTAAGCTGTGCTGTATTGCTCACTATCCAGGTTAAAATGTCCTGTCTTGTTTTGAGACTGCATCTCAACAGGGGATGCATTTTTAAACTCCAGATGCAAATAATGAAAATAAAATTTACACCATCAGCTCTACGCGTTCCTTGAGGGACTTCTCTCGATCTTTTATTAGAGTGATCTGCGGTAACAAAATTAACTGAACAAATAAATTACACGCTCTTACTCTTATTTTTGCGCTTATAAGTCATAATTGAATTTATTTAAAAATCTGATGAACATTAGTGGAATGAATAATTGATGGTGCAGAAGAGTTGTACGACCATGGCTTGGCTTGAAAATGATTGATCTCAATGACATGATTGTTGCGCAGCTGAAGGAAAGAAATGCTGCATTCCCAGATGTCAGCAAAGGCATTCTTATACCTATGGTATGTTGTTCATGGCTTCACGGTTAACTTTTTGTACCAAGCTCTGTTTCATTAAAAATCCTTATATCCATTTTTGGAGAATGTGTTGTTAAAAAGTTGTTGGTCCCATAGAATGTGTGGTTGAAAATGATTTTTAAAAAATCTAGACATGTATGATATTTTGTCAGAAAATTTAGCGGAAGAAAACAATGAAAAGGGGTAGTGCTGCGGCATCCTTAAAAAGCGGCAATGACAAAGTGCTGTTTCCTTTTCTCTGGAGCACCTAGAAAATGAGACGAACTTTCTATACAAGTTTTAACTTGAAGAGCGATCCTTAACTGATCATAGCTTAGTTTTCCAATTAATAGATGTCAGCTAGTAGACCTAACTAGTTGCTTCTAAATTGTTAATAACATATTTCTGGGCTGAGATATGTCTCACAACAAGGTAGTTTGCTCCTGTTCTATTCCATTACTTCATTTAAAAATAAAGTTTTCTTTTCCATCATACAATGTTATCGCTACTCAATCAGTGCATGATCCATATATTGAATTCAATTTTTTTAACATCAACTTTAAAGGTTATTGTATATCTTATCATATCTTAGTTACAATTGGTTTTGAGCTGTGAGAAGTTACAGACATCAGTGTTTATTTACGTTGATACATGAGGCTAAAATGTCCATATGATGGCATGATAAAGAATATGGCTTCCTGTTCCTATCTTTAGACCACAAGGCATGTCTGTCTGTCTGCATATGCAGATCGTGGCAATGCAAAAAATATCGGAGTGAGCCAAAAACATAAAATAAACAAACCTTACAAAAATGTTCAATATAAAAATATTGGGAATGTGGGTTGTTGTTATTGATGAATGAAAATTTGTAATCAATTACTTTGAATCATTGATTGATAGTTTTAGAATGATAAAATGTTGTTTATACAATAATTTATGCTACAAAGGCACCTCGTAGGCTAAACTTTAGTAAGTGCACATCTTTGCATCAGTATACCAAAATGCATGATATGCATCAATGAATTCTTGAATTTGTATGCCAGCTGCTCAATATGCAAAGTTGTCATAGCTGTATAGGTTCTCATGAAAAAATAATCGTAATATTTTCTCATCCAGGTATCACCAGGGTCCCCAGCTGATCGTGCTGGATT